CACATGACAAACACTACTGAACAGACTCAGAGGCTAAAAATTAATCACTACTGAACAGACTCAGGCTCCAAATGAATCACAACTGCACAGACTCAGGCTCCAAATGAATCACTACTGAACAGACTCAGACTCCAAATTAATCACTACTGAACAGACTCAGGCTCCATCTCACGAACACTACTGAACAGATTCAGACTCCAAATAAATCACTACTGAACAGACTCAGGCGCCATCTCACGAACACTACTGCACAGACTCAGGCTCCAAATGAATCGCTACTGCACAGACTCAGGCTCCAAATGAATCACTACTGCACAGACTCAGGCTCCAAATGAATCACAACTGCACAGACTCAGGCTCCAAATGAATCACAACTGCACAGACTCAGGCTCCAAATGAATCACAACTGCACAGACTCAGGCTCCAAATGAATCACTACTGAACAGATTGGGCTCCAAATGATGTCATCGGCATAAGATGAGGGTGGCCATACTGGGATATTTTGGCTTCACTTTTCTATAGTGGACAGAAATGGAGATGCGTCGTACCCCTTTTTTATTTACAGTCTATGGGTGTGAACTCTAATGATTTGAGGATTATTACATGGTGGTTTCACTGTTGCGATGTTTGAGAGAGTCGTTCTCCTGACAGATCAGCTGGTACGGCTTTTCATTCTCCTCAATCACAGAGTTACTGATTTCCACATCCTGGTTCTGGAGTTCTTGTCGTGACAGATGCTCAACGATTCCAGCGCCAAATGAGTCTCCCAGCACGTTGGTGGTGGTCCTGAGTCGATCCCTGAACAACCACACAAAAACATTCACATTAAAGCCATTTTCTGCAGATGTGAGTGCTGCGTGGCCATGAAAAACACATAAGCACAATGCTGGAGTGTTGCAGCTGGTTGCCATGGTGTTGCTAGGGTGTTATAAGTCATTGTCAGGGAGTTGTGGGTGGTTACCAATATGTTGCTAAGGTGGTACTATGCAGGTGCTAGGGTGTTTAAGACTGGTTTTTAGCATGTTTCTAGGGTGCTGTGGGTGGTTGCCAATGTGTTTTTTAGGTGGTTGCTAAGGTGGTACCATGCAGGAGTCAAGGTGTGCATGTTGCTTACGCAGTTTCTAGGATGTTGTGGGTTGTTGCTATGCATGTGAAAAGTATGTTCTGATTGGTTTCTAGGGTGTTGTGTTCAAACTGTTGCTAGAGTG